TTCGGCGTGACGAGCAAACACTTTAACCACAAGGCTACATCGCCGCCCATAATCTCTATGAAAGTGTCAGTATCTTTATAACACCATACTACAGATTAAAGACTTATATTCAAGATATTAGTGAGTTAAGAGTTTTGGTCACATCGGCAGTACAAGATATAGAATTAAAATAGATTCAAGCGTAATTCAATTCAAAAGTCTTCAGCATGTCTTTCTCTGGTTGGCATCAGGGCAGATACACAGACAATGACACTTGTCCCTTTGAAGATTTGTTAGGCAGCTAAAAACATCTAATATTGCTTTTCGCGGGTCCGTTAAAAACAGGTATTTACCGAACTCACCAGTCCATAATTCTTTTATAATGTAATTACCGGAAAAAGCTTCTAAAAACCAAAACATGTCTATTAGGTAAGAAAAGTAATTTTAATGAAGCGTAACGGGGATGCCGTCAAATAAGCAATCTGATTGGTTGAATCATAGGGAAGTCCTCATCCTGGGCTCTCAAAATGTATTTTTAGTAACTCAAGTCAATATGACTTTTGGTTGGACCTGGGTTGGAGTCAATATGCTTTTCGTTCGACAGTCACGTGACCGCCTCTAGACCAATCAAGTAGCCGGGAAAATATGCTTACATAATAAATGTTAGTATTCTTAATGACCCATCACAAATATCTAATCTAATCTTAAATAACAAAATACATTCCTAATTCCTAATCATTGTTACCTATCATCTGTCAGAGGGCCAGCATTCGTTGGTTTCACATTAATTTTTCGACTCGCTTTGCGCATGCGCGGAGCGTGTAAAAATATCCACTGGCCAACTTCCGGTCTGGTCGTATGCTTTACCGAGTGTAAACACACTCTAAAGAAAACAATAATTAAAACAAATATATAGTTTTATGTCAAATGCAACAAATCCGATTTGATTTATGAAAAAAAGGCCGGGATTAGTTATATAAATAGCTTAATTTATGTGAACAAGCTCTTGTATATAGACATCTCACTACCATCGTCCTTCCCGCACATCCCCTTCTCACAACTTAAAAAACCCACATCTCTGATGGAATTGCAACCAAAATGTGACATCAATTATTGTAAAGCATAGGCAAATGGAAGTATGTAGACAGCTATGAACAGTTGTCACAACATAAAGTATTTTCATAGCAGCTTTTATTTAGAGTGGGGGTGGTGGGGTATCCTAGTGGTTAAAGCGTTGGCTCGTCACGCCGAAGACCCGGGTTCGATTCCCCACATGGGCACAATGTGTTAAGCCCATTTCCGGTGTCCCCCGCCGTGATATTGCTGGAATATTGCTAAAAGCGGCGTAAAACTAAACTCAGTCAGTCAGTCAGTTATTTAGAGTGTATTTACACCATCGGTAAACATAGACCAAACCGGAAGTTGACCAGTGGATATTTTTCCACACGCTCTGCGCATGCGCACAGCGAGTTGAAAGGTAATGGGAAACCAACAAATGTTTGTTGCCATACAAAAACTCTTCACTCCTGAAAACCTTCAACAGTATCTCCTGTGTCTATGTCAGCATCAAGACCATTTTCAAGCTGCATGGGGCGATCTTACAATAGCCACCATCAAAACCCTCACAGTATTATCAATAAGAACAGTCACATGGCAATCCCTCTGTGATTTTTGAAATTTTGCTTCTCTTTGGATATTCGGGCACAGAATTAGTTAAGACAACTTCCATGGTTATGTTTTTTCTCTACTTCCCAATATATCTGTACTCGTTTTTATCATCACACTTAATTCCTTTTGTCTTCTCCATATAATGCGGATTTTGTTTGCGGTGCCCTGCGCTACTTGGGTTGTTAAGAATTATGATTTGTCTCTGTTCGTAGTGTTATGTTTGTTGGACCGTAACTCGGAAGAGTATTATGTATTCTTTCATGAAGCTGTGCACAAACAAAAAACAAGTTGTCAACTGCTAGCAGTATGGTGCCAGCGGATTTCCGAGGTGACGTAATATTTCATCACCTTTCCTCTCTCAAACAACACCAAACAAACGCATACCCGGTAATGTTTGTCACTTTTGGACGAATTTCATGTCAGACAAAACGTGGCCCTCGTCGTTAGAGATGTCGTATTAGTCATATTAGAGGTCTGACATGTGCTAGCAAGGTAAAATATCCTATAGTCTAAGTGAAAACCACGGCATACGATATTCCAGAATTCTTGAGATAATATAATTCTGAACATTTGATAATGGTACATATCCGTAAAAGATTAGAACGAATCCTTTGCGGGGCTATCAAACAAAAATCCTTTACGTTTCCAACCTTTTGGATGGGCCGAAATTGCAGTAAAAGTAAATGGTCAGGAGGTAGATATGAGTTGTCATACCGTTAATTTCGAACCCGACTCGACCCGGATGTATAGGACATACCTGGAGCTATTTAGAAATACGGGTGTCTAGGGAGAAATTCCACAGACACCATTACTCTCGACATTTTAGACGGTACCACCCTATTTGTCTTCGATTTAACGCACAATTTGGGTGCTGACATGTCACACGTGTATCCAAAGAACTCTGGTCAGGTCGACATCGAGATGAAATTTGCGCAGCCAACGCCCGGAGCTCCGACACAAGTCTGTTAGAGAGAGCTGGACAGTATCCTAGTGAGTGAGTGAGTTAAGATGTTAAGTCACATCGGCAATATTTCAGCCACATCGTGACTAAAATCGGTTCTAAATTCATGATAAACACATATAATTTTTAACACCCTGTCAAGGGGACCATGGAGACTTACTATACTTTTGGTACCTGCATTGGCGGACAGTATCATAGAATTTGACCACTTTAGAAATGCTACTATACACTGATGCAGATCATGGACACACGGTACCTCTCGTACTAAAATGCTGTAGGGGCGAGATTTGCGGTTGTTGACCCTTTTATTAAAAACATGTATGGCAGTATCAGTAGCAGGGAAACTTTGGAAGAGATGTGTACTAAAATATAGACAGCTTTAGGCTTGGTGGGGTGAAAGGATTGAAATATCCTCTTCTGTTTATTTGCTACACGGACAAAGAGCAGTCAGTCAGTCACTGGTTTGCCTTAAGTACAGAGGCACCCGGTAAATTGCATGTACACGACTCATACAATATAGATTTTTACACGCAAATTTGGCAGGCATTTCACGAATTTTTGTCCAAATACGGTCGTTTGCAATATTCCTACAATATAGTCTAATACAAAGTCTATTGTCGGTAACTTACAGACACCAGTGTCTATATTTCGGTAGTTAACGATCTCCCTGCATTCCTAACGACAAAATAGTGAAACATTACAGTAAAAAGAATATGCTTAAAAATGATTCCATGGTTTTCAGATGGTATGATAATACATTGAAACCCTTACTCGAAAAATTCTAAAAACTTTAGCGGAAAAGTGACCGACAGAGATTCCGTTTACTAGAACGGTACATGCTTATATTGCTTCGTGGATTAAATTTTACTCTCTATTAATATTAGTGATACAATATACCTTTTCATATCTGGTAACATCTTACCAAACAGAGTAACAGTCAGCGCGTCCGAGCATGGTGGTGCATTGTTAGCCAGTTCTGTTTTGACACTCGATTACCTCATAAACAGGATTTAGAACGTTGAACTCTTACCGGTCAGCGCGGCCGAACAGGCTGTTGTATCATTAGCTGGTTTTGTTTTGAGGCCAAACATCGTGTTGGATCGTTAGCCGGGTCTGTTTTGAAACTTGATTGGTTCATATACACGATTTAGAACGTTTAACGCTCACTGCCCAGCGTGTCTGAACAGGGTGTTGCATCGTGGTATCATCGTTCCTATTCCTAAAGGTAACGGTGCAGATCCTAGAGACCCCTATCTTACAGGGGAATTACACTGTTATCGGTTGTCTACAAGCTCTACTGCAACATACTAAACAACAGACTAACAAAATGGGCGGAGAGAAATGAATATTCGTGGAGGAGCAGAACGGCTTCATGAAGGGCAGGAGTACGGTGGATGACCTCTCAATGTTAACGTCTGTCGTCGATACGAGGAAGAAAAAGAAGCTATCCACATTTGCAGCGTTCATACACTTCAGGAAGGCCTGTGGCTCGATTAACAGAGACAAACTATGTAGACGACCAGCCGAGTTAGGAGTTCTGGGAAACATGCGGCGTGCGCTACACGCGATAAACACGGGTGTCTCCAGTTGTGAGAGTTAACGGGTTCAGGACGGACTGGTTTACAGTTAGCTGTGGAGTGAAGCAAGGCTGTTTATTATCTCCCCTTTTGTTCAATACATATATTAATGGCCTAGCTGTTGCTCTGAAAGGCTTAGAGAAAGGGGTGAAAGTTGGGAATTATATTATCTGTATTTTATTTATGCAGATGATCTGGTGCGATTGGCCGAGAATGAGAGAGATCTACAAGTAATGCTGGATTGTTTGAGCAGTTGGTGCTCTAGAAACAGTATGGCAATAATCACAGGTTGTTCACTTCAGACACCCCTCCGTGACAAGCACTCGTACACATTTTACATGTGGTGATCTTTTACTGAATGTGATAGATAAGTATACATACCTTGGCCTTGTGTTACAGGAACATCTAGATTTTAATGTTACCGCTAAGGCTGTTGCCCCCTCTGCCAGCAGGGCACTGGGTCTTGTTACTGCCAAGTGCAAAGCCCTGGGAGGTATGCCACTTAATGCTTTTAGAAAATTGTATGAATCTGTTGTTTTGGCAACAAAACTTAAATGCTGTTTTACTTAAGTGCTCGATGTACAACGACCTGCGATCAGAATTGTTTACCAATGTTTGTACTATTTATGGTGACTTTTTTAACATTACCGAAGAGCAGAAATTTTGCTTTTAAATATCAAATTATGAAGTTGTTAGTAGTGTTGCAAAAACCTTGTTCCTTATTTTATATAGAAGACGACTGTTAGCTGTATAATATTTAAATTACAATTGTGCACTAATGCAAACGTTTTTCTGTGATTTGTAGTTGCCTGTAGATATTTTAGATTTAGTCTATCATAATTCCATAAGGAATGGTGCATGTGCTTTTATTGATCCCTGGTTATTTTGTCCATGTTTTATGTTGTACATACTGTGAGACGTAAATAAGGTATCTGTCTGTCAATCTGTCTGCATCGTTAGCTGGTTCTGTTTTGAGTCCGAACATCGTGTGGTTACCCATCGTATTGCATCGTTAGCCGGGTCTGTTTTGATACTTGATTAGCGTTCGGGCTAGTTTAGACAAAGACCCTTGCGTAATTGTTTGCCTACGTTTGCATACGGATTTTACATGCGCCCGCGGCTTGACGCCTTTCACGCCAGTTTATGCTTGAATTACCGAGTAGAAGTTTTACTGTCACCTTTCCGACACCCTGTCCCCGTCCGCTCGCCGTACCACCATCCAAATGCCACTTGACCTGTCCTTAGGCCCCGTCCCTCTAAATATCACAGCCGGAGAGTGACGTTGTCTATTTTAAGTCTCTCTCCCTCGATAAGTTTCAACGATGCTCTGTTATGTTCCCGATGCCCTTTAACACAAGAGATGTGAAGTAAGGAGTAGACAGTTGGTTTGCAGTATAATACAGACACTGGGGAAGTAGTGTCATTATCGGACTCAAACGAAGACAGTGTGTCAGTGGACGTGTACGGCCGTTTTACGACTTTCACGAGTGACAATGTCGTAATGGATTCTATGCCGCACAGGAAGTTGACACCTAACGTTGATTACCGGGAAAGTAGGCGAGAGCCGATGACGTTGAACACCAGCGGGAACTCCTGGAGACCCTCGGGGGAACAAAGGAAGCTGCTGCCTGATTTACGCCAGAACTGGTGAGACGAAGCGATAATATACGGCTACGAGAAGATGGCTACTTGTAAGGATTGGCCTGAACAGTTGGTTGAGAAGGGTACACAGCTGGCCAGGAGAGGACAAGGCCGCGTGTGCTTGGTGTGGTCTGAGGTTATAAAATTGGTGTGCTGAAGATGAAATAGACTTTGAACGCAACAGGTTTAGACCCTCGTGCACATTCCTGAAAAATTAAGTGTCCCATTAGATTCGACGGTGACACGAGGATGTACACAACCGTCTGATACACCGTCTGGATAATTGCATTGCGTAATGTGGTAGGAATGTGTCGATGTTCAATAATGTATTCAACGCGTTTACACGTAATTGTGAATAACATGTTTGAAAATGTGTTTCCTAATGCCTCTGTTGTGTTTTATAACATGGTGTAATTGTCTACCTCGTGGGGTATTTATTGGGGTGGATCAGACATTAGTTGGAATAAAATCGTCCTCGTGCAAGCTTGGGGGTGGGGGGAGAGAACCTCCTTGTTGCTTAACAAACACCTCGTCAGCAGATTTCCGGGGTGATGTAATTTCACCTCGGAAATCTGCTGGCACCATACCACTCTGTTGCCTTTTGGTATCAAAGCTGTTTAAATGTTTGACTTTGATTGGGGTTATCTGAAATAAAAGTACACAGTTACGAATCCAAATTCCATGTTTATGTTTTGACAGCTCAATAATTACTCTTGTATAACAATACAACTTTCGGAGTTGTATTTGCACCATGAGTTCACCCCGTGCTCAGTTGTACTGTCCAATGTTGAGAGAGTCACCCTGCTACACTAGGCTGGGTATCAGGATCTTCACTGTCAGGGTTCCGCTGGTTAGATTCCTACACTCTACTCCTTCAGGTAAGTTTCAACAAATGTGTTCAGTTCTCCATCCAACCAGTCAGCCTTGTTCCTGAGAATGAAAAAAAATATGTGACAGCATGACATGAGAGACCATTTCACTGACAATCATATCTGCCATGACAGCAGGAGTGGCACTAGCACTTTTAGCCCTGGTCATTTTTGCTGAATGTGGTAATTTTCCTGAGAGTTAGCAGAATTTTAGGCTTTTCAGGGTTTGTATTCCTTACACATCATCATCTAAGAGAGCAAATTGTTAAATGGCCACTGATCTGGAGTGATTTGGCCTGTTTGGTTTCTTGCAAGAATGGTGATGTCAGCCAAGTTATTAAGGTAATTGGGGCTTGATTTGATGTGGTCAGAGATGGCTGATTTGCTGTCGAAATAAGTAACGGAAAACTGATGTTCTTTTACTCCCTCAAGCCTATCCCCGATTCGCACAGAAATTGGCATGACTGATCTAGAAGAGAAAGCTCTACAAAGTGCAACCTTCAAAAGTTCAAACCTACCTGCTGGTACCGGGAAGTGGATGATACTTTCGTCATTCTCCAACTTATCCATGATCCTTTTCAGTACCTCACTAATCTCAACACCCCGCATAAAATTCACCATGGAGACTCAGCAGAACGACCTACTATCTTTCCTTGACATCCTTGTGTCCCGAACCTCCTGCAACCAACTTCAGACCACCGTGCAAAGAAAACCTACCCATACAGATCAGTACATCCACTACAACTACAACCATCCTAGTTAAGACCGACATCATCTCTACATTGGCCACAAGAACGAAGAACATGTACTCAACAATCACTTATGAAATAAAAATTGTCATCCATAAAATGAGTCTATTTTGTATTTCTCAACTTCTAAATTGTCACTCAAAGAAGTTTTTAAAACTAAAAGTCCGTGAACTAAATCAGCCCAGCTTTACCATTGCTAGAAAAATGTTCCTCAGGTAAATGCATGGTATATAGTGTAAGTATGTACAACTCTTAACTTCTGTTCATATCCCCAAAGCACCGTTGATACCTTGCATGCAGTACAATCATACAGCTATTCCCTTGATGTAATGTTACCTGAGGGTGTCTGGGTGTTGTCCTCTTTTCCCTAGGCAATCTAAGTACTGTAAAATTATTGTCCTCCTGAGAGGGTACGTAAGTCCCAAAACATGCAAAGTAAATTTCAACTTTCCGTTTTTTAATCTTAGAATATGTGTAATTTTAACGTATGGCTAGATTTTTCTCAATTGCTAACAGCTGAGGGGATGATGTAAATCCAGCTAGGGCCCATGCAGGAAGCAAATGTACTGTAAGTCCCCATGGTCCCTAGTATGGTGATCTAACTTCAGTTGTTAGCGATCTATAGCCCATTTTTATATTGTGTTGTCCCCTCTAGTTAAAATGTTTTAGATTCAATTACTAGTTTTACATATATATCTGTGATAATCTAGTTATTTTACTGTCCTTTGTTGGCAGACTTTTATAATTTCACTTAAATTGTTGATATATTTATAACTTGCTTCAGTCACGATATGGCTGAAATATTGCCGATGTGACTTAAAATCTTAACTCACTCACTCACTCACCTAGGCAATCTGTCTATCCACTTTTGTTCTGGGGATGATGTAGCTAAGATGGATATTCAAAGACAAGTCCAGTATGGTGGTCAAGTCCTTTTCATTGTTGGCAAGAATTCTCACACAAAGGTCCTCAGATATTTCCTGGTGTACACACAACACTGATTCACAAATTTCCTGGAAGAACTTGTTGGATTCTTGTACAACTCTTAATGCTATGAGTTCATCTGAGCCATTCTCTCAATATACAGAAAGAACCTCTCAAGTCAACGGTGGGGCCCAGAATCGCGCTCCACTCACTGGATATGTGACAAAATAGAACTCATGGCAATTTTGGCTCCTCCCCCCCAAAATAATGTCCTACGTCATACAAAAATGACTCATATCCCATCTCAATAGTTAGTTACTTTCATTACCATATTTCCCGGACCTTTATGGTACCATCAAATACTCCCAGTATAAGATGACTTCAATTAGTTAGCTTTACGCCATTTACCAACCAAACATTTACACATCCAGCTAATATTTCAGACTGGTAGGCGCCAGAAGATACTAAATCAAATCATTTCAGATCCTCCGTGTGCCCCTTTATCGACGAACTGACCATCTTCATCCCAAATGTCCCAAATGTTTATCAACCTAATTGTGTAGAGACACGAGATTTGATTTTTCCTTCTCCAATTTGTAGAAATTATTATTCTCCACGAAAAGTTAATCAAGAAGAATTCGGTTACTCTGGTCAATGCACTTTCCAAGTACATTGACCCTTCCCAACTTCACTTCATATTTTCCTTAAATATTTTCAATTCTAAATATCCTGGTAATAGTAATTCATGTTTGATGGTATAAACCTACACATGTTCATTTGTCATCATTCACTTGATGCTCAGTTAATGAATTAATAACCGGCCTAATGAGTTGATTACCCAACGAAGCTTTCCCTTGAACATGTCTTATGTCTGGGGTAAATACTCAATCTGATAAATTACGGTCTAATGTGGCAAATGTATTGCATGTTATGCAATATGTACATGGAAGCACAGCAAGTGGAATCTTTAGATAATTTTTTAAAAATATAACATTGATCAAAGGTTTTACCAATAACAATTTGATTGATTAATTACTCTTATGTGGCACAACGAATTTGTCACAATGTTTAGCTCATGTTTGTAGACCAACTAATGCGTTTATTAGATAAATATAATGATAAGGACTCTCGTGTCCAAACAATTGGAAAGATAGGAATCGCAGACAATCGTGACAACAACATTCCCTTGGAAATAGAACAGGATGGTGCAGTGTTTACCGATCGCTCGTCAGTGATTCACCAATGGGTCGAAGATACAGCTTCAGCTCGCTTCGACGATAATTACTTGCACAAGGTCATGACCGAGCTCAACTACAACATGTTACGCAAGAGCTGACTACGACAACAGTGACTTAGATTCACCCATCACGCTCGGTGAGGTCGGGTGCGCGATTGCACGTGCGGAATGTGGTAAGGCTGCTGAACGAGATCTTCTGCCTGCAAAGGCTCTTTAGAATAAAACTTGTTTAGAATTGCAGATGGATAGAGCGTAACGATATTTTAGCACTGGAACAAGACGGATTATGAAGTAATCGCGGCACTCAGGAACATCTCTCATATGGAGATGTTGTGTGGAGCACACGTCACTTTGTATGTATGTGCGTGCGTGCGTGCGTGCGTGTAGTGTATGTGTGTGTATGTGTGTAGTGTATGTACGTGTGTACATATATATGCACTTTTGTATGTGTATGTACACATGTGTGAGTGCACGCGTATGTATGTGTGTGTGTGTGTGTGTGTGTGTGTCTGTATGTGTGTGTATGTGTATGTATGTATGTATGTATGTAAACATGAGTATGTTATTATATATGTACTATGTATAACTATTATTCACTTTTATATTATGTGTCATCAAGTATTAGTGTCTCGTATGCCAGCAAGGCCTGGTGCTGTTTTTAATGTAACTACATATTATATCTATATATTGTGTACCTCAGCATGTTCCTTTATCTGGATAGTGATGGATATATTTCACGAACAAGGTAACAGCCTGATATTATTGCTATAACTTTAGTCGGTTTCTATTTTAACATTTGTATGTTGCTTTTATTTATTTTTTGTTGCATTTAACAGAATCATTCCACTTCATTTAATTTGTCGCCATGAAGTTCTTCAATGTGCAACAGACAACTTGCACTAGGTCGCACTTAGGTCGCACTAAGCGAATGTGATTCACTTAAGCAACATATGAAATGTCTAGATACTAGATTCCTTTTGTCAATTCACCAAAAATGTTCGTATACGTTTTCATGAAGTGTATAAAAATATTATAATAAAATAATTATGCCAGGACTATAAAGCAAAATTATGTGGAAGTTCAAAATGTTTTGATTTGTTATTATAATAGTCAAGATGGAAATATTAATGTGTAAAAAGTTGACTATATTTTTCAATTAATTCCAAGACGAAACTGTATTTTGTCTTTGTTGATCAATCCAAGGATACTTCTTGTACTACCAATTGCACTTGAGGTTGGCGCAGCAAAGATCGCAACCCAGTTAACAATTCAGTGATACCGGGTACTCGCGTGAAAAATAACAAAGCATCAACCAGTTCCAGGGAATTGCTGTAGATCAGTACCCCTTTACCGTCAATCTGTAGGGGCGTAGCACAATTGGAGGAATAGCATATAACAATTACTGCCTCAAAATCAATACATTCTTGAGATTGTAACTCACTACAGATGTCCTTCTGCTGTGGGATTTATACTAGGCATACCACAGAGACTTCCACTTACTAGAGACATCATTCAGCTGTAAGATAGTCTATTCTGTTCTATCCAATATTGCAACAGCTAAGGCTTTGCCATCCTTCAATGTCAACACTAACCTCAGAGATTTGGACTTGCCAGAGATCTCCTCCAGCTGTGAGATGGTGACATTCAGCTTCGCGAGGTCCTCCTGCAGCTGGTGCTTGGTTCTCTCTACCTGTTGACACAGTCGGTCAAAGGCAGACCACAGCCTCCTGCAACACACAAGCACCATCATAACGAATGTCCCAGAAAGCCAACAATGTATCAACCTATGTGGCTGTTAACATGCCCAAACAGCAAGAAAGAGTGGTAGTTCAAGGGTTGTCATATTCCTACTAATACCATAATCTTGATGATATTATTTGGAATCAAATGACAAAACTATTCCATTCAAATGGAAGAGTTCAGAAAATACTCATGCCACAGCCATCTATTCAGTACCTTCCAGTTCCTTGTATAGCGACATGTTGAGTGAGTGAGTGAGCCATATAGCGATGAAAACAAGGTAATCATTTTAAAATATCTGTCGACAAAGGACATTTAAACTAGCTAGACTATCACAGACAGATATATTTAAAACTAGTAATTAAATCTAAAATACTTTAACTGTAGAGGACGATGCGATATAAAAAACAGCCTAAAGATCACCACCAACTGAAGGTAGATCACCATACCAGGGACCATGGAGACTTACAGTGCTTTTGCTACCTGCATGGACTGACATGTTGAGACTAGGACTACGTATTTAAGATGAACAATGAGTGGAGATATAGATTACTTAGTAAGGAGGTGCAATGTGTTGATAGTACTCTTACGAAGTAACAAACTATAATAGAAGCTACTCACGGCTTAACCATGTTGCTATAGTCAGATTTGAAGCATGTCAGTTGCCTCTTGACATAATTCTCATACTGCTGCTTGAAAGCCTTCTCTTTTGCCGCGTTCGTCCAGTGCAACCTTTTGTACACCTGTTCCGCTGCTGGTACTGCTACACTCCCAACCATCACAGAAGCCTTCAACAGACAATAATCGTACAAATGTACGGAAAAAAATACAGTACAAAAACTCAGTAAGCCTGTGCCATTCTAAAGTTATTAGGATCATTATAAGAATATTTCGTTTCAATTAAAATCAGTGCATAAATATATATCATCACTATCATTTCATCCAAGTTTATCATGTTGATGAAAGAGTAAGGAAGTGGAAATGTCTAAAGCAATCTCAAGACACATCTGTGGAGGGACAATAGCAGACATCTGTTCCTCAGACCTTTAACCATAAGTATATGAGTGAGGAAAGTATACCCCAGTCTACTACATGTTATATAATCTCTCTAGAAAATCAGGACTCACAACTCCTACTGCGCCAAGTCCAAGCCCCTGCAATGCCTGAAATGACAAGGACATAAATGTGGTTCCCACGATCGGCGTGCTTCATTGGAACTGGTTGCCTGACCCAACTATGGTCAGAGATGTAATACAATGGTTGAAATGGAGAGACTCAAAATCTTCTTTTGTGTTTTAACAAATGTTTCAACATTCTCCAAATATCTGAAATAAATTAACTACCAATAAGTTGACCTAGCTAAATGGGAGTCATGACTTTGGTATAAACTGTTACAACGAAAGAGAGGCACTAAGTGATGCCGAACTTCTACATTTTAACTTTCATGAATGACGCTTCATACAATGGAATATAAGGTTCTAAGATGTGGTGAGCGAGTGAGTATGGATTGGGCTAGTTATTGTACTCATAGAATTTTGATCTTGACTTTGTTTGGATATTAGCCACTTAGGTTTCAACACCCTACAATGTCAACAGCTGTCAAATCATTAACTCTCTATGAAGCTGGAAAATACACGTACGTTGCAGTTATTTCAGTGACAACTTACAATGGCTGCGGCGCATGCGACACCCCCTACTACTCCTCTTTCAAGCCGCGTAGGGAGGCTGGAGCAAAACCTGAACTCTAAGTTCTCTTCAAAGTTCTCATAAAGGTTCCGATTCCGACTGTCAAGGTTAACATCTGTGTCCGGAATGTGATTATGCAGCATTGCTATCGTCCTGTTTGGTAGAATGGATGGCAGTCTGTCTAAAAGTCAACAGAGAGAAAGCAAGTTTATGATGATGGAGTGATGATTCATTGAAATATTTGTGTGATTCTTTGTCAGTTTCCACTGTATAGGCTATTGCTGTTTGCAGCTAAAATCACTTGAAGGTTTTAGACTATTTGAGTCAGAACAAATATCATAAAACATAAAATGACTGTCACAAACAAGGGTGATTCTGGTTGTTTGAACTACGACAGATTAAATGAAAAACTGTTCCTTACTGAACAACATGAGGCAAAGGATACACTCGATATTTTCATTTTACTTCCAACACGCAAACATGTAATAGTCATTACATAACATCTTCAAATGATCAATGATACTCCTGAATTCTTGTAATTGGATTTGATGTTATACTGAGTAAGACACTGCTGGCAACTTTTCCTTGTATGTTGTGTTTACAGGCAATGGGATTAACTCCATTCCAACAGTCATATCACATCATATTAGCCTGCTGTGGTAAAACGAAGACGTTTACCCCAAGGAACCCAGGAGCATGCGTAACCTTTAAGTAGTAGTACAATGTGGGTTCTGCATCACATGCGGCTTAGAGGCTTATTTATGGGACTTAAGCCCCCCAGTCCCCCCTTAAAAAAAGGTGAGGGTGTAGCACAAACCATCCTTCGATGTGCTTTCAGGTTAGACCGAGCTTAACAACGGGGTTTGGATTCGATTTAAATGTAGCCGTAATATTCGGCGACGACTTTATGGAGTGGGTCTGCCATGATCTCACTGAAGTAGATTAAGGAGTACGGGACATCGCATTCTCGGGTCTCGAAGGTATAATCGATTAACGTATCGATGAGGCTTTGTAACCGTTCGGTACCCATGAGACCTTAACTATCATACAGGCTGGTGAATTTCCCTCGACTGATCACTCGACGCAGGGCAGTGTAAATATCGAGGCCCTGGATGTCCACCCCGACGCGTCTGAACAACGGTTTCTCGATAAATCTCAACATGTAGGAGAAACATAAAATGAATCTTTAATAAGGGGGCAATACCGTGTCATGAGGGATGATTTGTAATTCCTCTCAGACGAATCCCCTACCTGGCCCGTCTTGCAAGTAATACAGATTCGGTTTGTTGTCTTTGATGTCCACTCGGTCGATGTGGTTTGTTTTCATTGACCATATGGGGTTTGTGGCACGGCGTTTGTCCCCGCCTTCGAGTTCACCGGGCTGGTACAGATACCTCACGACGACTCGGTCCGGTAGTTTTTTCTCTTTCCCACGATGCGATGGTGCAGCCGATTTGGTGGTCACGGATTTCATTCGAATGGCTTCGATGGGTCTTTTATCGAGGAGTCGAGTGACTTCATTGTTGATCGCCAACACCTCTCACGGTAAGCGTACGACCCATTCCAACGATCGTTTTTCTGGGTTGACCATCTCTCGGGGATACTGATGTCTGAACAAATGCTCAGCGAAAGTCCTGTTGAATCCTTCGACGATGGCTTGGCTTCGGTGAGCTCCGGCCATGCCCCATCTCACCTGGACTTTATGCTTCGATAACAGCTGCGACACGGCTCCTATGAACTCGCGTCCGGGATCGACTTGTAATTCGGTCGACCAGGTCAAGTGACTGCGTTTGTAGATACGTTCTAAGGCCTTAGCGACTTGACTCTATTCTTTGGTCGTTAACTGTTCCGCTTCCTTGTAGCGACTGGCAACATCCACGATGGTCAGGGTGTACTTGTACGTTTTGTTTCTCACCCTGTCGTGCGGGAAAAACAGGAGGTCGGCTTGATGGGTACGATTGGGTATGGAAATGTCAAACTTTCTTCTCGGGATGTATCGGGGAGCGGGCAGGTATAGTGGCCAGATGGCTTGCCTTTTAAGCCAAGCTTTGGCGGTATCCTCGGAGACGCGAGAGGCTTTGGCTAGCTTCGGGATGGCGCCCACACCTTTCCAGTAACCCCGGGGCTGTAGTAAACCTTCTCCATGATGTATACATGCAATTATCCATTCAATAGTCTGTCTACACCTCGACGCATAAAGTGGAGATATATTTATTGGGTGTCTTTGATTGAATTGCAGCACTCGGTGTACTTTTGTCAGCTTCATGCCAAGTGACAGGTACAGTTGCAGATTCCGTACTTGGTCTTGTGCATCAAGTTTGGAACGAGTTTTTCCACGTTAGCTAGCTTATTTTTCCCAAGCAACGTTAGCTGATAGTCCGGTATCCAGTCTCGGTGCTCCATCAACCGTTTGGAGCCAGGGGATAGCCGTTGTGAGCAGAGTGCAATGCCTCGGGATACTCCAGATCCACTTCGAGGATGTAGCCTTCGTTCGAATCCGGCGCGATGCTCGTGATATCGATCTCATCGTCCAACCACTCAAACCCACCTGTAGGCAGAGACTGGGTCATGGCCCAGCCGTGCAGGTTGTTGGCGTCGAGATACAGGAGATGGTTGGTGGGCTTGCTCGAGACGTAGCCTTCCACGTAGTTGTTCTTGGCTTTCGCGTACAGTTTGGAGACCATGGAAATCCCACCACGCATGCCTTTTTCGATGAACAGGTGCATGTCGTAATCCGTGAGCAATTCAAATTTGACTACGGTTTTCTTCAAGAGCGCATCCCAAGAGAGACCAGGGCTGGTGTAGTACCAGGTGGGGTAGAGTTGATACTGTTTCAAACACGTCGTTCTGAACGTCTTGAACACGTCAGCCAGCAGGAGCACGTCCGTTTTCAAGTACAGGTTGTGGTAGTCGCCCAGATTCTCGCAACCCAGGTATCGTTGGCCTTGACCAAACTTTCGAGCAATGACAGGAGGAACTGAGCGCTATCGATAAATCTCAGACTGTTGAGCGAGAATAAAATGTATTTCTCCATGTTGTTGGGAATCCACTTGATATTGCCATCGATGTTCGAGATGGCCTGCATGATCAAGTGAGCATCGTACCCTCTCAAATTGTTGATTTTGTGTGGATCGATTCTAAGTTTTAAGTTGCACGCGTTGTGAGCGGCACCTCAGTAGCTGCCGGTGATGTGACAATGATCTCTCATGACATCCCCGTTCAGGGGTTTGTTGCACACGTGGTAATACTAAGATTGCTTGTGAGCGAGTTCATCCTCCGGCGTCATTTTCATGGGAGCAGGATTCGACGCTTCCCTGATGTTTTTCTCTTCGCGTTGTACGAACGCGAGAAACGTTTCAGCTGCGTCGGGACCTCGGTTGATCACTGGAGTCTCCATTTCACCATCGCATCGAACGACAACGTAACCGAACCCAGGCTTGGTGTTGTTGTGTTTTGTATGTAAAACTTTTTTCCGGGGATGGCGCGATGTGGTCGACCCATTTGATGAGGGCTTCGAAGTCGGCGTAAATGACGTTGATGTTTGTGGTTGATGAATTTTAAGATGTTTTCATGTTCTCGAGGCATGTCGATTCGGATCGCCGTCACGGCAATCCTCCCGGTGCGCTTGCAGCAGGTCGGCTCGCGTAAAGCCGTGCAGACATTGTTCACAGAAATGTTTCTTTTCTCTGTGCGATTGATCGTAAAACAGTCTGCTCAGACTTTCAATATGTGTATAGTGATACTTATCCTCTTTTTCGGTCATAAATAAATTGATTCTGCACACATCATCGGGCATGGAGCTGATTCGGTGTACGATGGTCGTATTGCCTTCGTGGCCGAAGACGTTGAAGGCTAAATGGTTTAGTTTTTCATATCGGGTCCAGTAGGAAATGGGTGTGGGTTTAACTAAGCCATTCCAGTTAAGCCCATCGTCTTCAGGGTAGCTTGAAGGTCTGTTCTTTTTTAATAGCTACTGGAAATAAGCCAGCTCTCACCAAATATACTGCACAAGCATCGTCTTTATTGTTTAATGTTAGTAATGGCTTTTTTATTTCTGTAGTAAGGTGGCAAGTCTAGGAACGATCCGCCTTTGAACGGTACGTAGTTCGCTACGTCCAAATAGATGGTGTTGACACTTCCCACCACCCACCCGGAGCCCCTGTGCGTCCATCGTTCCAGGGATTCTTGTATTTTTTGTAGCGAGGTACAGAGGGTCAAAGGGATCGAGTCGGATTGAAGTACGACTTCCTGCTCGCCTCTGAAATATGGCTCGATGGACTCGGTATTGCCATCCGTCTGCTGTTTGTTGAGCGACATGTGGATGGTCAACTGGTATTTGATACGTTTTAAATCATCCAACTCTTCTTCAACTTTGTCGGCAATCAGGGGTTTGATGCTGTTGACGTCAATGTTAGACTAGACGATCATTTTCCAGCCTCTCATATACTTACCCACGAATCTGTCGGCACGAATCTCAACTCGACCAGCTCGGTGTCTTCCAGCAAGGTGAGCAGTTGGGCTTTCCTCATGCGAGAATAACCCTTCAATCCCCGTTCTTCAGCTCGGCGTTTGAGGTCTCGCACGGTAGGGGGTTTGACATAATTCATGTCGAGTAAGGTGAGCAGTTGGGGTTTCCTCATGCGAGAATAACCCTTCAATCCCCGTTCTTCAGCTCGGAGTTTCAGGTCTCGCACGGTAGGGGGTTTGACATATTTTATGTCGAGCAAGGTGAGCAGTTGGGCTTTCCTCATGCGCGAATAACGCTTCAATCCCTGTTCTTCAGCTCGGAGTTTGAGGTCTCGCACGGTAGGGGGTTTGACATATTTTATGTCGAGCAAGGTGAGCAGTTGGGGTTTCCTCATGCGCGAATAACCCACCAATCCACGACTTTTAGCGAGAGCTTTGAGTTCGCGGATGGTAGTCATGATTGCTATATCCCTCTGCAAAGTCAAATGTCTAATTGATTTACTATATCCACATGCAAAGTCAAATGTCTAATTGAATTGCTATATCCACATGCAAAGTCACATGTCTAATTGTTTGTTGTTTTCAAAGGGAGATAACTCCATCAGCCTTCTCTCTTTTGAACTGAAGCGCTCATAATTTTTAATTTTTTTAAATTTTTATTCTGAGGAGTCGGTTACGCTCGTTGAGATAATCTTTCTTTTTGTCGTAATTCAG